TTCTAAACACGTGTCGTGTCAGCCCTATGACATTCGCGAATATCCACTTCCAGAAAACATCCTGTGTTGGTATAACATGAATTAGTAAAGGTTAATTAGGGATGCCCAACACGTTAATTACTGAAAGAAGAGAAGTCAAAACACTGTCGTTTCCTGCCCTGGACATCACACCCCTACACGCTAAGGTCGGTGAGAAACTTTCTCATCAAAGAAAACACACAGTCAAGACACTGCTTTTTCTACGAGGACTCACGGTATGTAGTCATAATTATCAGTTAATTACATTGTAGAAGATGCATTTTGATTCAAACTCAATTAAATGAGCAAAACTATACGTTTGTGGACATTTGCGACCTGCCTAGATATGCACGTTTCGTTTTAATATTCTGCAATCCATTTTTAGTATTACCCGCTGGCCCGGCCACCCTTCATGTACATTGAGGATGGTAGCTGTGATGGTAATGCCAAGCCAATAATAAGGACATACGTATCGTATCAGACACAATCACAACTGCAGTAAAGCCAGAATCAGTACAGCGCATCGCATGAAGGAGGAGTCTGGTGTCTGCCTCTTCTTGGCTACATCTGAGGGCTTTAACATTGTTGACTGGCTCCACCGTTAGTCTTATGCAAGTCTGCTTCTCTGTTCATCTTCACTCCAGCCAGAAACAAGTACTTAAATTAGGTGTGCCTTGTTCTCTAGGTTCAGGAGGACATTCACTGTATGACCGAATGTTCGGGTACAAGGGTCCTGAATGGTATGCCATGCTGGGATCCTCTGTTGGCTCTCTCTGCATTTTTGATTGATTCTTCTTGATAAACATCAAACACCATGTCAGTATACCCACAGGATATTCCTTCTCGCAAGGCTTTGGGAACTTCAGTATAAGACATATTTAGATCCGCCAATTACTCTGTACTTTGCAGTAAGGTAATGTCTGCTAATGGCTCCAGGCTTCAGACTGAAACCTTTGGTGCCTCGTTGTGCCTTCTAGGTACAAGATATCGACAATATCAAAGTGTGACTTCCAAAATTGGTGATAAAGATCATCCTGATCCTGGTAGAAATACTCTGCCAAATATATAAACTCTGGAGTGCTAAGTGCTTCATAGAAGGTCTCCTGGCATATGTCTTGTGAAAACGCATTGATCATCTCTTTTAACTTTTTGGAGGCTTTCCATCAGTTAAACCCATTCCAAACAAGCCGTTGCAGTGCCTCCTATAGCAATTTGTGGAATCTAACAGCACGGTTGTATCTTCAACCATCAAGTACACCTTCAACAGAACCTTCAGCGATCACTCCTGTTTCCATGCAGAGGTCTCTTAACCCAGTTTTTCTACCACACTTTAACAGTGTGTACACTGTGTGAAATACGCTTACCTAGGAACGATTCAGAGAATAGCTTCTTCTGTTTCAAAATGTTTTCAGTGGCCTTTGCATACAATGCTTGGTCGCAAACCAAAACAATGTTCCCAAGGGCTAGTGACGTTCTGATCTTCTGGGAGTGACAAAAAACCTCATGGACAGGGAGTGGAAAGCCAACCACAACTTTAACATGGACATGAATATTGAACCCTTTCAAGCTGCTCGCAGTCTGGTTTGCTGAACAATGCAACCGAGTTATCAACCATAGTAGGGTTTTCTTGTTCACCCCCTGTTTCAGTTCCATGTCGTCTACTTAAATGTTATCACGAGGTGGCGGACCAGCTCATACACAAGCATTGTAGATAGGAAGCTGCGAATTGACAACCTTGATAGTTCCATGCTTCTGTGTTGGACTATTCAGGACATCCTTCAAATGCTGTGGACCACTCACCTTTTGCTGCACGTTGATTCCATTCACTTAGCGTGATGTCCCTCCTCAAGTTAGTGTCTCTTCAAGTCAGTCGATGTTATCAAACGCCAATGTTACTTGGACATTTGGTTGTATGCATCCTGGTAGTGTAACACTTTCTTCGCTCAGTGACAATTTATGAAGTGCTGTGTCAATCTCTTCAATTTGGGAGTATGAAACGCCATGTCCAATCCGGTTCAGAATGCGAATTAGTTCCACACACCCAGTGACTAATTTCGCAACATATGGCAGCAGGATTTGTTTTTGGAGTTTCACCTAGACACACATTTTGCCATCACAATGTCCTAACCTATAGAGTCTGTGAATATGGTCTGATACAAGAATTGATGTGTTAGTGTCTCACCTTAAACGCATTTTCAAGAAGAGGTTTAATGATGCAGGAATGTAGGCAGATGCATTTTTCATTTCTGTTGATACTGTTGGCCAAGACATTGTAACATCTTATCCCTTGACTTCATTTCTAAGCATAAAAAAAAAGATTCATCATCATTTTATCAAAATGAGAAGTGTCTTGCTTGGCAGCTAGGAGCTGTTCAGTCAATGTTTGTCAGGATAATCCGAAAATTTGCTCTTCTTATCAGGTATCATATGGATACTCTTCAATTTGGGTATTTGTTTGGTCAAGGTCGCACGAAACAGAGTCTGTGGAAGCTGCAGCAGCACTAGATTTGGCTTGTGTCGTCTTTCCAAGCTTAGTGTATAGCCAGAGCGATGGAAATCTCCTTCAGCAGCGACTTCAAAAACATTTACTGCTCCCTTTTGAAAAACGATAGATGAGAGTTATCTCTCTTGAAAAGCAGACAACACTGTTTGGATTCCTTTTTAAGAATGTTTTGTACCGGTAATGTGACTTGGAAAATGTGTATTTGATCATTTAAACTTTCCTATATGTTAAGTAGAGTTAAATATCAGCAACTGTTTTCCAATAGAAAAAAAGATTCTATGCTCACATAATGCTTCTGGCTCACATCCCTTTTCTTGTTCTTATGAGGAGGCCATTGAAGCGAGCAGTCAATGTCTCAAAATTCAACTTTAGTACAAAACATTAAGTTTGTCTTTTCTTTTGCAGAATAAAGGTCCCTGCTTATTCTAACTCAAAGGGTTATATTTTGTAATATATTCAGGTTAAAACCGAGTTCATATATGGTACTAGATGGCATTCATCTTGGATTATTGGTAACCAAATTACATCAAACTGTAACTTAACCATCATCTGATTACATATAGGGCATTACTATGAGCAATAGGAGTAGTTTTTTTATCAAAACATAATGACATATTTCAGGAAGTCCAACTTCATACAAATCTTGTATGCTTTTAGCGCAAAACGACATTTGTCTTAAAATGCATCAAAAACCGTTCTTTACCACACCACAAAAGATCATCAATTTTAACGGACTTGGCTTCAATCATAGCCCATTTGGGTTAAGAAAGTCCCATTGTAGTGGTATGTGCAGTTTATTTTCTGACAGGTGGTAATATTTTAAGCAGAGGTCAAATGTTGTGACCTTTTGACCTCTGGTGACCTACATTTTTACTGTATTAGTCCTATATTACATACCAACATGTAGAGCATCAGGTTTCCAACATTTTGAGTGGTCATACTTCCCCATATGACTTTTGCTTGTAAAGTTATTCCACTTTCTTGTTTCCCCTACCCTGAAATCTAGTCCCGTGGATTCGACACTGGGGTCCCCCTTTATGTGGTGATTACTACCACTAAGCTGTGAGTCCCGGATTGCTTTCAAAGGTTTTTTTTATCTATGGATATATGACTTTCAAAAAATCATACTGAGACCGCTTTATAAAATTTTCGAGTCTGGCTCATGGACTATATAGAATGTTTCTCTGATATACTGAATAACATAGCTGATGAATGTATCCCAAGTCCTCTGCAAATCCGCTCAAACCATGGTTTAATTATACTTGCAAACAAGCCAGAAAGGCACGGAAGAAGGCTGAGCATTATTTCCGTCATTCTATGGTTCTTAATATAAATAAATTCAAAATCGTGAAAGCCAAGGCTCATTTGAGCAAAATAAACGCAACAAAATTAAATTCCCTTAGGCCTATGTCCAAGGTATGGAATATGATTAAAAAAATCAAAGATAAGGGACCTAAACCTGGTATTCACTGGCTGTTCTGGTCAAGACTCGATTATTTACAGACCGCCGTCATATAGCTGGAATATTGCTGAGGGCGGCGTTAAACAACAAACCAATCAAACAATGTGGTTTTCGTAAAAGCAAAGTACTGTTGGCCATTTAGTTCGATTGGAGTAATTTGTTAAAGATGCAATTATAAACAATCAATATGCAGTGTCTATCTTTTTCGATCTAGAAAAGGCTTCCGACACCACATGGAAACATGGTATTTCAAAAGAATTACATGATTCTGGATTGAAAGTCCGTTGGCCTCAATTTATATCCCAATTTTTAACCGACAGACAATTTCAGCGTGGGCTCCACCCTGTCTGATCATTATCATCAGGATCAGGGTGTTCTACAAGGCACTATCTTGTCTGTTGCACGATTTAGTATTAAGCTAAATAACCTCGCAAAGGTTTTTAATGATTCTGTAGATGGATCACTTTTCGTGAATAACTTTAACATATCTTGTCGTGGTAAAAATATGCATGCAATTGAAAAACAATTACAGTTATGTCTTAATAAACAAAATGTTCACTGGAAAATGGCTTTAAATTTTCTTAAGCCAAGACCAATTGAATACATTTTTATCGAAAATAATAGCCATATCCTGAACAATATTTAGATGGTACAACTGTAACAGTGCTAAAATTGCTATATTTTATTCAACTTTTTGTGAAATTCGCCTTCAATTCATAAGTTGTCGGTTAACCATTTAAGACCTGTTGGTACTTACTAGCGATAAGAAATTGCATAACAACATCTGGCACTTCAGATTTACGCCGCCACGATCAGGTCGGCGGGCGAGGCTTTAATTACATGTTGAATAACAACTAGTAGTGGTCAGCGCGTTCGGCACTTACCAGTGTACCGTTATCAGCTATTTAGCGTCAACTGACCAAACTAGAAAATTGAAAACGCGAAACCAAACACGAGCTGAGTGATTCTATCGGCATTTATAATCTTCTATTACGCAACTTTCCAAACTGACCGTGGACTTTGGCTATTAACAGACCAAACCCATCATACAAAATTGTATAACATGTCCAGTCTTTATTAGTCCAAAGTCTCAAATTTCAAACTGGACATGCTCGTGTAGACTTGCCTTCAGATTAACAAAGGAGGTCTCAGGTATAAATATAGGGGGAAATCGACTGTTAGTCATTCCTGCTTTGCCTGAGAACCTCTCTCTGTTTGTCTTTGAAGGTAAGTCACTTTTACTTGTTACTTTGGCATTTAGGTTGAACTTTGCTTAAAATTGTCTTTTAAAATTGTCTTTAATTTTGTATGAATATCTTGCTTGAACAATGAACTTATACTCTATGTATTCGAAATGCCGTGCGAATCTAAGCTGCATATTATTCAAGTTTTACTGACACAAATTAACTACAGTACTTTATATGCGTGCGTCGCATGTAGAAATATTACTATTCCACAATCAGCGTTCGTATCCCACATGTTTATTTATCGGGTTAAAACTACTAGGCAAATACATTTGTAATTAGTAATCACAGGTGTCGTGGATGCTTCATAATTATCATGTTTTAATGTGAATAGCGTGCATTATAATAATGTATGAATTATTTGTCCATGTATCTGTAGGACCACTATTCATATGTGTGTCGTGTTATTTACCTTATTGTATGCTGTATCGTTAGTAGAGTGGTTTTATAATGCAACAACGTTAAATGCGTCAATATGCATTAACATGATCCAGTTACTCGATATAATTTACGTTATGTATATTTGTTTGCGTTCTTATGCCTGATAAATACGGTTCAAGAATATAACTTATATCCGATGTTCATGCATCAAATATATTCTTTATATACAAAACCAGATGAGTGCAAGTACAGCAAAGTATATTATTCTTATCTGTAGCCCAAAATATATTTCTCATTAGGTAACTACTTTGTGAGGGCATATCACTAGACTACAATACTTGAACGTAACTTTTTGTTCTAGATAAATGCACGCAAATTAAGCAATGCCTGATAAATTTATGTTTTCCAATTTATGCATATTATTTCCATTCGGTAAGATGAATGGACGCTGTATAGAATATCTCAGATACTATACATTTAGCATAATTTGGACGCTACAGATAACGTAGTAGTTTTATGTTGTAGAATAGTTATAATGAAACAGGCTTTCCTATAGCAGTATTTATATTCATTTCTAAATTACAGTTCACGAGCAATTTCTCTGTTTTGCCGAAATCTCCAATAAGGTTCATAAACATTCACAATAGAACATACGTTCACTAATAATCAGTTTTTAATTCATATATATTTCAAGTTTCAAATACGGTATTCATTCATGTGTGATTTGTATAAGCTCGGCCCGCATAGCACGGCATGCACAGGCGGCACCGCTCATTGTTATATAACGGCACACTCACCAGCGCTCGGCAGTGACGTCACGTACCGTATTTAACCATGTTGCGCATAGCTGTTATCTGAATTTAGTATAATGTATTCAGTCATTGAATGCAGGTCCCATTATTATTTACCGTATTAAATCTTGTGTTCACTATTTAACTCTGGAGTGTACACCTGAATCAGCTATAGTTCATGACGTCACATGTACCGTATTTAATGTAAAATAAGTCATTAGACATGTCATTGTTCAAGAAAGGTGTTGTTATAATCTTTCATATGAATGCTTTTTGTAAACATTGTTCAGATGTTATTTATGAGTACCTTAAATATATATATCAAACATTATGAGTAATTATCAATAAGTAATTTAATTTGAATTAATTATAATGTCTGCATTATATCAAATGTTCACTGCTATGATATAAATGAATATCCAATGAGTTGAGCTTACATTTTACACTTTGTTATTATTTTACAAATGGTATTTTAATTATAAACGTGTTACGTAATCTTATGCAATGTTATATTAGGCTGTAACTTGAATAGGTACTCAGACGTCTCTGAAGTTAATGCATTGTTCTCAAAGTGAGATCACATAACAAGCAATTGTTTATTAACTCATGCCTATTATATAACAAAGAATATCTTAACAGTTTTGGTATCACTGCTTAATTATTTGTCTGATTATGTCTTTGTGTTTGATGATGATGAAGGAGATTGTCTATCTATGTCTATATGCTTGATGATGATGAAAACATTTAATAAAGAATTCCTGCTTTGCCTGAGAACCTCTCTCTGTTTGTCTTTGAAGGTGTGTTGATCCCGTGGCTAATTCCCCGAAAGCATTCTAGGTTTTGATCAGTTTTAGTGTAAAAACTAACTCTGTTTCACAACTATTAGAATTGTAAAGGAAGCCAAGTTCTTGGGACTTATTTCTGATAACCATTTGACCTCTTAACCCATATCAAATACCTCAAAGCTTAATGAACCGGTGAAGATTCCGGGATAGAATAGGTCTTCAGCAACCCATACTTGCCGTAAAAGGCGACTATGCTTGTCGTAAAAGGCGACTAAAGGGATCGGGTGGTCAGGCTCGCTGACTTGGTTGATACATGTCATCAATCCCAATGGCGTGGAACGATGCTCATTATGATAATTGTCTAGTCCAGACTCGATTATTTTACAGACCGCCGTCATATAGCTGGAATATTGCTGCGTGCAGCGTTAAACAACAAACAAACAAACAAATCAAAGCTAAATGCCTGAAGGCGCTCGAATTATTAAAAAGTCGTTTCAAATTCAAAGTGGGGAGGTGATCAGAAGACCCTACTCCAACTATATAGAGCACTCATCCGTTCAAAACTGGATTATGGAGGAGAATGCAAAAGCAATCTAAAAATACTGGATTCTATTCAACATCAAGGACTACGGCTCTGCCTTGGGTCCTTTAGAACTTCTCCCTTTCACAGTTTATAGGCTGACGAACCATCACTTAAACCCCGACGTATGAAATTATCTTTACAGTATATTACCAAGTACTCTTCAAATCACCCTAATCCTGCATATTAACACTTCTTCTCTTATTCCCCCCTCTTGGAATAAGGATACAAACTTTAATATCTGATGCGAATATACATCTTGGAAATATTTATCCTTTACGTCAGAGGTACATGTAGACCCGACATTAATAAAATCACAAACTTGTGTCGTAGGCAGTTTGGCAGGGTATAGGTTTTAACATGGAGTTTATATATGTCTTGTATATTCCCTATGTTAAATAAGTATAAAGATAAATATTCACAATGCTGCCCAATTCAAATTATAACAACAGCTAGACTGTTATAACTATGGTCAAGAGCACGGAGTCATGTGCAGGTCAGTGGCTCCTAGTTAACATAAGCGAATGGCCGGGTGGCCACTGAAGCTTAACATGGTGGATGAGGTGTGGGATACTGCAGGCTGACCAGAGAGGTATCGTATTCGATACGTTGCAGCTGGTCAGTGATTTGACTGGTTAAAATGAGAATACTTTTTGTTGGTCGGGACTTGACCCTCGGGACTTGACCCTAGGCAGGTTGGCCCTCTTGCGCCCCCGAGATGCTGCCTGGCCATTGCTGGACTTCTATGGAGTCATATATTTATATTAAGATCACGAATAGAGTGTTGTGGACCCACGGATTGACTCCAGGGTGACACAGTAGCTAGCGCTACTATCATTGGATCCAGAACCATATCGTTCAGGTAACCACATGACAGTTCAGTTTTAACAGCTGAATCACAAGCCATCTTAACAGCTCTTAAATATTTGAATAATCAATATAAGCATAAGCAGTTCATAATATTTTCAGACTCTTTCGTGTCTTCAGGCTATTCAAAGTATGTCCAGTACACATCCACTATTGATCGAAATTGTTGAATGATCTAGCTACTGGCCAAAACGACATCACTTTCCGTTGGTTACCCAGCCATGTGGGAATCGTTGGTAACACAATGGCTGATGCTGCAGCTAAAGGAGAACTCAATAAAGCTGTGACACCACTTCTAATCCCATACAGTGATATTAAACCTGTAATTAGATGTTACATCAAAGATCTTATGCAAGAGAAGTGGGACACCCATGTAGGTATAAACAAATTCCATGAAATTAAACCAAATATCGGTTACACCTTCTTGGGTTGTCAGTCCAGGTTTGAAGGTCAGTTCACGACGATGTCGTATTGGCCACAGTAGATATACCCATGAATATTTATTGAAAGGTGAGGATCCTCCATTTTGTATCCCTTATGATGAAAGAATCACGGTCAAGCATGTCCTGCTTGACTGTATTGATTTTTCCATCACACGAGATAACTATTCCAAGGTTTCACCCATAAAGGATCTTTTTAAATAGATAAGTACTCCTTTAGTTATTTTTTTGGAATGAAATTGAATAAAGTGATAACTTTTGATGTAGAATGTTATGTATTCTATAAATGGGTAGTTAATGATTATTAACTGAGATTGTTAGTGGCTGTGCCTTGATAGGGGTTGAAGTAGGTAAAACTATTGTGCCCCTGAGAGGGTATGTAAGCCCATGTCATTCAAAGTATTTTTATGTTTACCAGTGTTTTATTGACGAATATTTGTTCGTATTAATCTGTGGCTAAACCTTGTCCAGAATCACCAATGAATAATATAAAGGGATGGTGTAAATCCTGCTGGGGTACTAGCAGGTAGCAGAGGCACAAAGTCCCCATGGTCCCAAGTGTGGTGGCCTAAGTTTGGTTGCTGGTGATCTCTAGCTCGTATTTATTTTGTATTGTTATGTTTGTTTGTTGTTTTACGCCGTACTCCGCAATATTCCAGCTATATGACGGCGGTCGTTATGTAAAGTGACATCTTTTTATGGTTATATTCTAGTTTTAATATAAATCTGTTTTAATGTCTTTGTTGTCATTTTTTTTATGATCTGAATGGGTTTTGATGTTAGTTTAATTGTTGTTTAACGCCGCACTCAGCAATATTCCAGCTATATGACAACATTCTGTAAAAAATCGAGTCTGGACTAGACAATCCAGTGATTGACATCATGACCATCGATCCACGCAATTGGGATACGATGACCTGCATCAACCAAGTCAGCGAATTTGACCACCAGATCCCGTTAGTCGCCTTTTACGACAAGCATAGTCACCTTTTACGGCAAGCATGGGTTGCTGAAGACCTATTCTACCCCGGATCTGAATGTATTTATTATTCATGTGTAAATTGTTCTCGTCACTATATGGCCGAAATATTGCCGATGTGACGTTAAATTTATACTCACTCTGACTCATGGTTTCAGCTGTTTCACCGCACATCACCCAGATTGGTCGATTTATGATAACACACCACTTCTGTGAACTTTGTCAGCTATGTTTGAATACCAAATGTTAAAAAAGTTATTTGAACATTATTTATAGTGAGAGTAACGATCACTGTTTTACCATATACCAGATTTAAGAATTTAGAACATCTATTTGACAATTTATGCCGTTATGTTATCCAGCTTACGCGGACGTGATCTATATTTGGTTGGAGTTAGTGCATGTGTTGCAACACACACGGAGTGTTTGCAGTCCAATATCTAAAACAACACAACAAAACAGTCATGACAGTGAAACAGTAAGTATCCAGTTTGTTTGTTGTTGTTTTACGCCACACTCAGCAATATTCCAGCTATGTCACGGCGGTCTGTAAATAATCGAGTCTGGAACAGACAATCCAGTGATTGACATCATGAACATCGATCAACGGAATTGGGATACGATAACATGCATCAACCAAATCAGCGAGCCTGACCACCCGATCTCGTTAGTCGCCTTTTACGACAAGCATGGCTCCCTTTTACAGCAAGCATGGGTTGCTGAAGACCTATTCTACCCCGGATCTTTACGGGTATACAATGCTTCCTCGTATCAATAAACGCGCGTTTACAGTATGGTTTTAGCAATATAACTAGATAGGAGACACTGAAAATCGGCTTCACAAAATGTACCAACGTGTGGACTCGGAACTCAGCCTTCGTCTAATCAACCGCCCTTGTCTAATACGGAAGGGAACTTCAAGTCAAACGTGACAATGGTCGCTGGCGTTTACTACTTGTGTGTTTGTTTTGTTTAGTTTGTTGTTTAACGCCGCATTCAGCATGATTCCAGGTATATGACGGCGTCCGGTAAATAATCGAGTCTGGACCCGACAATCCAGTGATTGACATCATGAGCGTTGGTTGGTTTGTTTGTTGTTTACGCCGCACTCAGCAATATTCCAGCTATATGACGGCGGTCTGTAAATAATCGCCGAAGACCCGGGTTCGATTCCCGGCATGGGTACAATGTGTGAAGCCCATTTCTGGTGTTCCCCGCCGTGATATTGCTGGAATATTGCTAAAAGCGGCGTAAAACCATACTCACTCACTCACTCCCCCTGTAAATAATCGAGTCTGGAACAGACAATCCAGTGATTGACATCATGAGCATCGATAAACGCAATTAGGATCGATGACATGCATGAACCAAGTCAGCGAGCCTGACCACCCGATCCCGTTAGTCGCCTCTTACGGCATGAGTTGCTGAAGACCTATTCTACCCCGGATCTTCACGGGTTCTCTGAGCAAAGTCACAAAACTCCGTAGACATAGACGATTTGCCATCAGTTCTCTGTAATTGGTACGACAACAAAGCAGTCTTTTGTTCCCATAACCCTGCGCCTCCTCATCCAGAGGCACTGGCATCCGTTGTGTTCTGCAAATCAATAGAACAATGTCGTAGTTCTCAGTTGTCAGTCCGGTGACATCAACCATACTTGTCGTAAGAGGCGACTAAGGGTATCGGATAGTTAGGTTCGCTGATTTGGTTAATGCATGTCATCGTATCCCAATTGCGTGGATTGCGTGCTCATGATGTCAATCACTCAATCACTCTGGTCCAGACTCGATTATTTACAGACCGCCGTCATATAGCTGGAATATTGCTGAGTGCGGCGTAAAACAACAAATATACAAACCATCTCACACGGTTCGCTGCTCAAGTTGTTGATCATTGGTTTGCCTTATCCAGATCAAGACAACTTTGCATATTGATGCTTTATATAGCTTTGCTGTAATGGTTAGGGTGTACAACTCGTTAGCTTATAGATTCTAATGTCGTTATTTTCAGTTTCAGGTTACTTTTTCAGTTGTCTGTCGTATCAACCATCGTCGCGATAACATTGGTTATTTTTCATGGTGAGAAATACACTTTAAGTAAATATTTGTTTATGGACCCGTGAAGATTCCGGGGTAGAATTGGTCTTCAGCAACCAATGCTTGTCGTAAGAGGCGACTAACGGGATCGGGTGGTCAGGCTCGCTGACTTGGTCGATGCATGTCATCGTATCCCAATGTATGTGGATCGTTGCTCATGATATCAAATACTGGAGTGTCTGGTCCAGACACGATTATTTACAGACCGCCGTCATATAGCTGGAATACTGCTGAGTGCGGCGTTAAACAACAAAAAACAAACAGACAAAACACTCTCCACAAGACTATATGATAAGAGGGATGACTTCAACTTTCCAATAGTCAACCTCCTCTTCATGTCGAGCAATATTCCAGCAGCTCCAGCCTTTGGTGTTTACATTTCGCAACTTTTGAGATACAATCGCACATGCTGTTTCTACCAAGATTTCAAAGAGCGTCATACGACTCTTGCTCAGAAGTTGTTTGATCAAGCTTTCAACATTCAAGGCCTCAGTAAAGCTTTCAAAACGTTTTATGGTAGACATGGGATGGACATTTCCAAATTTGACGCATCAGTGACAAATATGATGTCCGATGCAATTCCCTATTTTGACTTGTACCATATGTTTCCATATTTTTTTCGGGTGAACGATTGACTTGCCTTTGCATGTGTTTGTGACGAGTGCCACCGGTGGGGGAGGATACGGCCACCTTTTCGCGAACACCTGGTATCATTACTATTTGATATTGATTCATAAACACATGTTCATGATATTGTCGGAATTGTACAATCGACTCTGCTTTATGCAAAGATTTCTGTTGGATATTGTATTTTCGCTTTTTTTTATACGAACAATTTGAACAATGTTCATAGAATTATGTTTTTTTGGCATTTTGAACCCCCTGAAAATTAACGCACACACTTGCAACTTTATTGCAGATATGACATTGTGCTGGCCCCACTACATTTTATATATATACATATACTACTCAAAAGAAATCCGAAAACACGACTTTTTCTGTTCACTTGACTTATATGAAGGCTACAGTGTTTGGTTGGTTTGTCGTTTAACGCCGCATTCAGCAATATTCAAGCTTATATGACGGCGGTCTGTAAATAATCGAGTCTGGACCAGACCATCCAGTGACGGATATCATGAGCATCGATACACGCAATTGGGATCGGTGACATGCATCAACCAAATCATCGAGCCTGACCACCCGATCTACAGTAGTTTGTAGGTTGCTGGTATCTTGATGTGGATGATAAAACGTTGTGGAAAATTGATATTCAATTTGTTTTGTTTATTTGTTTGTTGTTTAACGCCGCTCTCAGCAATATATTTTAGCTATATGACAGTGGTCTGTAAATAATCGAGTCTGGACCAGTCAATCCAGTGATTGACCTTGGGGAGTTTTAGGATGGTTGGACGGATGGTTTGTTGTTTTACGCCGCAATCAGCAATATTCCAGTTATATGACGGCGGTCTGTAAATAATCGAGTCTGGACCAGACAATCCAGTGATTAATATCATGAGCATCAATCCACGCAATTGGGATCGATGACATGCATCAACCAAGTCAGCGAGCCTGACCACCCGATCCCGTTAGTCGCCTTTTACGACAAGCATAGTCACCTTTTACGGCAGGCATGGGTTGCTGAAGACCCATTCTACCCCGGATCTCCACGGGGGGAGACAAGCATGGGTTGCTGAAGACCTATTCTACCCCGGATCTTCACGGGTCGACTGCGACATGAAACAACACTCACTCAATCCCATAGAAATTCTATTTTTAGCTGACATGGTTCAGCCTGAAAGGCAAGATGAGTATATGTCGTTGCAAATGTTGTCGTCTTCACCGAAAGTGTTTGAGTGATTCAGCTGAACTCTGTGTGTACAATGTTTGTTGAAGGCATCATAATTTCACTTTCAATAAATATTTACTCAATTACTGACTGTATGCTTCACCATTCGTTTTCAGATCAACTGAGATCCACTCGAACAACGTTTTCATCTGGAGGACATTTAAAAGTAATCCACAGGCTTATCTTTTAATAGCGATCCATGACGATCCGGGGTAGAATAGGTCTTCAGAAACCCAGGCTTGCCGTAAAAGGCGACTAACGGGATCGGGTGGTCAGGCTCGCTGACTAGGTTGATGCATTTTGTCGTTGTTGATCGGATCAAGGTTTATGATGTCAATCACTGGATTGTCTGGTCCAGACTCGATTATTTACAGACCGCCGTCATATAGCTGGAATATTTCTGCGTGCGGCGTTAAACAACAAACGAACGAACAAGTTAAATTGTTAAAATCGATACACTTCGATAATATCGAATAATATTAATGCAAACATATATTGATAACATTGTATAAAGTGACGTGCGAATCCATTTTGACTTCATATAAAGACATTATAAGAGTTAATACAAAAACTACAATCAAGTGATCTTGGAAATTGCGGTCATGTTAGGCATGTGATGATGTTGAATAAATCCCATATATTTTGCAATGTGGGAAGGTATGAACTAAAGCAAAAGTACTGTCGGAAATGCTAGAAAACTGCTATTTGCCCGTTAAAACAAGATAGCATGTTTCACAGGCTGCTGCTATTGAAACATCGCAAAACTATCGATCGACCTACCTGTGCCTTAAAGTATTTCAGTCCATAGAAGTCCAAAGAAATGGTGCTTCTCGTAAAAGGTGACTATGCTCGTCGTAAGAGGCGACTATGCTTGTCGTAAGAGGTGACTATGCTTGTCGTAAGAGGCGACTAACGGGATCGGCTGGTCAGGCTCGCTGACTTGGTTGATGCATGTCATCGATCCTAATTGCGTGGATCGATGCTCATGATATTAATCACTGGATTGTCTGGTCCAGACTCGATTATTTACAGACCGCCGTCATTTCGCTGGAATATTGCTGAGTGCGGCGTAAAACAACAAACAAACCAACCAACGCTTGAAGAAACCAGTAAAAATCGGTATGGCAAAAGGCTGAAGGTCACGTCATTGAAAAAGAACGTCAGTGCCGCCAACGTGATGGGGTAGATACCAGCCTTGTTGCACCAGTTATCATACCTTTGGGTGATAGTACATCATTTTCCCAAGCAAATATTATGCAGTACACATCTTGATTTTTACCCCCGTCAACGCATATCTCAATAAAATACTATTACAACAATATCTTGAGACTCGAACACAGGTGACAAGTGCACCTGTGAGGATGCACGGGCCTGGGTGTGAGGTCATCACTTCGGGACTGGTGTCAGGTAATTACCTTATACACACTTGAAAACACACGACTATTTTCTAAGTTTATCATCATTTAACACACACACACACACACACACACACACACACACACACACACACACACACACACACACACACACACACACGCACACACCGCACACAACTACCCCCACCTTTTTAGACCACTCATAGTGTCAGTTAGGATAGGCGCTAGATTAGGTAGATTTACGTTATTTTGATATATGATAGTTACATAGCCCTATGATTGGTATTTATTTCATGAAGCCAGAAAAGCATTTCCGACAGTATTTATTTCAATAGTATATTGATATTATGATATTATTACCATAGATTAAACAATACAAAATATGAATTAATTTAAACGGCTTCAAACACATACATACACTCTCTCGCATGTTCAAATTATTTGTCTTAGGGTGGAAGCAGGCAAGACTCGATTGAGAAAATGTGTAAGGAAATGGGGTTGACATCGGATCGAGCCACAAATGCGTACAAGAGGATCATTGTGAATCATCGGTACAACGTTCTCTACTGCGAATCCCCGAAGGTCGCTACTACGAGTTTGAAACGTGTTTTCCTCATTCTCTCTGGCAAACTGAATGCATCCACAGCACTGAAGTTGAGTCAATATGACGTTCAGCACGGGTATAAAAAATATCTCACCTATTTATCAGATCTTCAACCCGAGGAAATAGATACAGTAATGAAGACCTATTACAAGTTCGTCTTTGTGCGTGAACCATTTGAGAGACTCATATCAGCTTATAGGGATAAGCTCAGTGTCGCGGCAAGTGACGAGATCTTTTCAGCCTTTGGAAGAAGCATAGTCAGGAAGTACAGGAAAATAGCCCATGACGAAGGTCGTGAGAAAGATCCTCATCCGTCATTCTTCGAATTTCTACAATATATAGTGGAAACTAAGGAAGATGACTTAAATGAGCATTGGCATCTGCAGGAGGATCTGTGTCAGGTGTGTCATATTAAATACGACTTGATAGGAAAATATGAGGAGTTAGAGACAGCCGCTAAAATGATACTGGAACACATTGGTGCACCTTCCGATGTCCACCTCCCAGCGTCCTATCCCCACGAGAAATCATCCAGCCTCCTCAGACACCATTACCAAGACATCCCGCCATTCTTTCTAGAGGGTGTATGGCGGAAATACTACCCCGACCTTCAGCTGTTCAACTACACAGTGCCTAGTGCCATCAGAAATCTTATCACCGTGTTGAATTAAAAGTTGAGTTAAATCACGTGTGTATTTATGCTTTATTCTTTTCTCTACCTACTATTACATGTCTTTTTCTCCAGCTGGATGGGTTTTTTGATGTGATAATCGGATCTATTTTCTTTGTAAGCGACAGACAATATTACATTTCGGTCCTTGCTTCAAGATGTATAAACGTGTCTGTCGGCATTATACTTGTGCTCTTTGGTCTACAAATGGTAACGTTCACAAGATGTGCAATTAGCTAAGTTTATAAGTTAATGATAATTATTGATTTAGCGCAAGGTCATAATCTGTATAGCACTATGTGTTATAAGATCAGTTTACCCTGCGGTGCTGGTGCTTGAAATTGCCAGGAAATTACGGTCTCAGATCAGAAGGTTCTTCTAAACAGGGACGTTGAACACTTGCATGGATCACTATCCTGTATGTCTGTTGGTAAACCGTCCCAAAGAACGTATCCGGCATTTGTAAATGATCGTCCCCCATAAGATTCCATGCCCGAATTTCAATCCCAAAAATTACCCGTGAAGATCCGGAGTAGAATACTTGCCGTAAAAGGCGACTTTGCTTGTCGTAAGAGGTGACTAACAGAATCGGGTGGTCAGGCTCGCTGACTTGGTTTATACATGTCATCGTATCCTAATTGTGTGGGTCGATGCTCATGACATCAGTCACTTGATTGTCTGGTTAAGACTTGAATATTTACAGACCGGGGTTATATAGCTGGATTTATTGCTGAGTGCGCGTTAAACAAACAAACAAACAAAACTCGCATACGGCCATTATGAAAGGACGGTTTAAATCTGATTCCATCCGTTAACTGCACTGATGACCACTGACCTTGATTCAAACACTGGCCCCGTGAAGATTCCGGGGTAGAATAGGTCTTCAGCAACCCAAGCTTGCCCTAAAAGGAGACTGCTTGTCGTAAGAGGCGACTAACGGGAACGGGTGATCAGGCTCGCTGACTTGGTTGATGCATGTCATCGATCCCAATTGCGTGGATCGATGCTCATCATATTAATCACTGGTCCAGACTCGATTATTTACAGACCGCCGTCATATAGCTTGAATACTGCTGAGTGCGGCGTAAAACAACAAACAATCAATCAATTATATCAAACGTCTGAAAATAAGATGCGTCTATACAACCGTGTTTACCAATATAAAATATGTATAAGTAAATTTCTCCTGGTCCTTCTTTTTGAGAATATATTATTTTACTTAGAATACTAGAAATCAGAGGATATTGTTGTCGAACACAGTCCGCTCTTCCCATAACATAAATGTAAATAAAAGCGACAAACCCTTTCCATATTCATCAGAAATTCCTGCTAAAAGCAGAGTCGATTGTACGATTCCGATTATATCACGAGCATGTGTTTATGAATCAGATAGTGATGACACCAGGTGTTCGCGAAAAGGTGAGCGTGTCCTGCTCCACCGATGTCATCATTACCCATTCCCTGGTATCGCCTGTAGTTTCAATCTTCTGCTGATTCCCGTGTCGCTTATTTTCAACACAGTCTAACAGTTACATATGTCGTCTATCAAAAGTCTTCATGTTTCAAATAAAATAATACAAATACAAAGTTCCTCATGAAGTGTTTAAATAACCATATCGAAAATAAATTAAAGACACATTAATATATATATATATTAATAATTAAAAAAGTGGCGTAAGATTGAACACAGTCTTAATAGGCTAGCGCTTTCAACTCGTACCACGTACGAGTCCCATCAGGCCATAACTGGCAAATAGATTTTATCAGATATCTAATATTTCAGTTTTAAATTAACGATTCGTTTTTTCGTAAGTCTGAAAAGAGTGGACAAATAAATACTGTAAATCTTGAAATTAAATGCGAAAAATGCGAGAGGTTTTTGCTCGCATTATCTAAACTTCCCATTAGTGTCTCAGGTGAGTTATCGCTGCTGGGGTCAAGAGTTCTACTCACTCGTGTCAAACTAGGCATCATTGAGTATCTAGTGATACGGATCCTCGAAGTTGTGACCACATTTACAAAGCGGTTTAGGCTGCATCTGTCTGAGAAAGCGAAGCAACAACATGGGGCCTAGGCCACTCAAGCGACATGCCCCCAACCAATTTATAAATTTACATACAAACATACCAGAACATACAATCAAACATGGACATTTGGAATAGACAGGGGAGTGATTTGAGCCCGGGGGTCACTGGGCCTACCAGAGTGGAGTACTCTGAACCAAGGGGGAGTGATCTAAGCCTGGGCTAAAACACACTGGAGTTATCTCAGCCTAGGCTAAATGACTCTGAAGTGATCTCAGCCTAGGCTAAAACACACTGGGGTGATCAGAGCCTCGGCTTAAACACACTGGAGTGATCTCAGCCTAGTCTAAAACACACTGGAGTGATCTCAGCCTAGTCTAAAACACATTGGAGTGATCTCAGCCTAGGCCCATGTCACACAGAGGGACTGTTCAACACAGAGGGACTTTTCAACACAAAGGGACATTTCAACACAGACGGGGATAGTCAACACAGAGGGACTGTTCAACACGGACGGGGATATTCAACACAGAGGGACTGTTCATCACAGAGGGACTGTTCAACACAAAGGGACTTTTCAACACGGACGGGACTGTTCAACACAGAGGGACTGTTTAACACAGAGGGACTGTTCAACACGGACGGGACTGTTCATCATCGGGTGGTCACCTGGTAACCTCGGTAACTTGGTTGATTGCTTTTCACACTATCAGTCACCGGTTTGTCTGCTACCGATTCCAATATTTAGGCCGAAAAACTATATAACATCACAGTTTTATATCGTAATTTCTTGTCAGAAATCTCAGTTTAGGTGAGCTGTCTAAATGATGCGGCGGCCCATTATTTTCACAGAAGCTACATTTGGTGACAATTATTTGGGGTTATCTTGCATGTGCATATAGGGCAGTAGTCAGATTTCTGTAGCAGTGACCGAGTTGAATGGTCGCTGATAAGAAAGTTTTTATCTTGGCAACACGATCAGGATATTTAACATTGCATTTAATCATGGGTGTAAACTAACATCTAGTCTCTGAAATGAACATATCTTACAGAATAAACTAGTTAATTTATCTTAATAAAATGTATTAAAAAGGAGCCGATAGACTCTCTTCATTTTCAGATACTGATACTACAGTACTCTAGACTTGCCCTCCATTATAGACTTGCATGGACTGTTTTGGATATATTTGTTTCACGGTCTGTATGACAGAATAAAATTGATGATGTGAATTCAATTACGGAATATGAGAGTTACGATTTCCTCGATGAAGATTTTATATAGGCATATGCTTGTTGCGATCACAGCTTCTATAACAATCACTCTGTGGGGACCAGGATTAATATAGGTCCCCAGACCGCTTTTCTTTGGTTCCGAGGTTAGTATATTGGATCGTGTGATGAAGTTCAGTGATCAGTACGCCGACGGAGTGAGACCTTGTTCAAAATATTTACCATTTGTTTGTCTCTTCCAGGCTTGATTACTTACATGCCGCAGTGACGCACAATGTTATGGTGTTTGTGTCGGAACTGCTCTCTTTTTGCCTCAACGAAACTATGGTAAAGAATCTATGCGTAAGATCAGCACGTTCAGTAAGAAAACATACAATAAATAACACTTTTGTCTCTTTTTTGGTCAAATAACATGCTTATCTCATCGAAAGACTTGACAACGTCTATATATTTTCATGAAAATGAAAATGTTATGTCACTCGATATCAAACATCCTCTAATGATTACTGTACATTCCGATATGATAGTAAAGGTAAAATATATGTTCTGGTTTATTAGAATAACTATGTTGGGGTTTTGGTAAAGAATATAGTGAATATTCTGTCTGTTAGAGCGTGCAGGTCGAACAGGCGACTTGAGCAGTCTGGCTGGGTGACTTAGTCGATTGCCTGTTAGCGTATCCCGACGGAATGGATCGTTACTCATAATATCAATCATTGGATTGTCTGTCAAGACTTGACCATGATCTAGCGGGAATGTGCTGAGTGCGGTGTTAAACAACAAACAAAAAACAAACAAACAAACAAACATCCCCATTTACTGTCTGTTGAAGCAGGAATGGTGCGTTCTTTGAGATCATTGGATGTGCGTGTTAATACCAGTAAAGATATAGTTTGTGTGTCACATAACCACGTCCAGATAATAAAATTCACTATGAATAGACTTCCAAATAATGGAACCTGATTTCAAAGTCAGACGAATATTTGATTTTCAAAGAAACTATGAAGTCAAGAAAATGTCGCATCAAAGTGACTGCTATTTCCCTCGAAAGGGCGTTACCCAACATTATCCAGTGAGTGAGTGAGTTGGGTTTCAAGCCTCTTTGAGTAAGACTTCGGTTATATCACGGCGCATCAGCTTCATATGGGAGGAAAGACCGAGGAAAATCAGGTCTCAGACGTTCACCACTTTGGTGAAACCACGATCACGCGCCTGGTGCTGACAAAACAAGAAAGTCAGAGCGAATGTGGGATTTGAACCCATAGTTTCCTGCCACACCCAAGGGACGTAACTCTGGTCATCGAATTGCGGCGTTGTGGACGCAACGATATATATAACTATCCCTACAAACCGTCGAAAAAACTCGTAATCCATTCTTTCTGTTCGTCTTTTTTTAATAACATTCGAATAAACACTCAGACCGCGTCTGAAGTGAAAACACGATAAGAGCGATCTTCCATGCATGTTGTGTAACACTGATTTTCACGCCGAATGGTGCGATTAAATATAATGTGGAAAGAACTACATTTTTGACGCCAAGTAGATTATTTATTTCACAGTGACCCGAGTATTACAAGTGTATGACATGCATACTGATCTGTTGACTGTGGTTAAAACACCTCCTACAATTTGAGATTTCTGTTAGATTTTCTTTGCCAATTGAAATTGTTAACAGTGTTATGTGTATACATACCTACACCGTGCGGCGATACGGTTCAATGTATAAATGTATTGTATATTAAAATAAGAACCGATATTCAATAGTCTTCCCCGTTGTTTGTTAAACTGTCTGAAGCGTTAATAAAATAAATACCATGTGACCTTCGCTAATATGCCTGGTTAATTTTTCTGCGGAAATAGATACCTTGTACTTTAACTTGACACTGGGTTGTTTATTCTCGTGAAAAGACCTTGAAGGTGACAGTGTGGCCTAGTTCGTGTACACATACAGTTGTTTAACGCAGACACTACAGTAAGAACAAAGTATTGGCTTGGTAAGATCAGACAAGGAAATACAAGATAACGTTTTATCATGCCTCGAGAACCTTTGTTCAGTTAAATCAATATCTATTTATAGTTTAATACATGTACATACAGGCACAAACACACGTGAAATATGTGTAATTGTCATTATCACAGCACATGTTATTTATTATCAACACAACCATTATTCAATAATTTGCCGAATGCTATTTGGAGGTCAGCTATTGACGGGATTGTTAAGTATGGGATATGTCTGGTACTGTGTCTGGGCTGTGTTTGACGGTAGTCAGAGGCCAAGGAGCGGGATAGTCAGAAACCAAGGGATGGAAAGTCAGTAACCAAGGGATGGGAAGTCAGTAACCAGAAGCGGGGTAGTCAGAGTCCAAGGGGCGGGGTAGTCAGAGGCCAAGGGATGGAAAGTCAGTAACCAAGGGATGGGAAGTAAGTAACCAGAAGCGGGGTAGTCAGAGGCCAAGGAGCGGGGTAGTCAGAAGCCAAGGGATGGGAAGTCAGTAGCCAAAGGATGGGAAGTCAGTAACCAGAAGCGGGGTAGTCAGAGTCCAAGGGGCGGGAAGTCAGTAACCAAGGGATGGGAAGTCAGTAACCAAGGGGCGGGAAGTCAGTTACCAAGGGTTGGGTAGTCAGTTACCGAGGGATGGGTAGTCAGTAACCAAGGGATGGGTAGTCAGTTACCAAGGGATGGGTAGTCAGTTACCAAGGGTTGGGTAGTCAGTTACCGAGGGATGGGAAGTCAGTAACCAAGGGATGGGTAGTCAGTTACCAAGGGATGGGTAGTCAGTTACCAAGGGTTGGGTAGTCAGTTACCGAGGGATGGGTAGTCAGTAACCAAGGGACGGGTAGACAGTTACCAAGGAGCTGGGTAGTCAGAAGCCAAGGGATGGGATGTCAGTAGCCAAAGGATGGGTAGTCAGTAACCAAGGGATGGGAAGTCAGTAACCAAGCTTTCGGAAAAAAACCTACCCTGAAGCAATACTTTAGAGAGAAAAGGTTCGAGCACCCATCCATGACACCCAATGTCTGGTCCAGCACCAGAAATGGGCTTCAAACATTGTACACGTGCGTGGACTCGATACCGGGCCTTCGGTGACACCACAACCCGCAGACTGCGGAGATCCACTGCCGGAACCGCAACATTAGATCTCGTCGTCCTACAAGAAGGCCCTTTCTGAATAGACGTTCGTTAGGTAAGCCTTTAGCCATCACGCCAGCATGGGTGATTATTGCTTCACGTCGCATCAGCAATTTTGCAGCTATTCGTGGCTTCATGTCTTTCGAGATGGACAATTTCGCAATTTATTTTGCTAAAAGTGATTTTGCTCTTGTGATGGAAGTGGGTAGGTGTGGCGGAGGAAGCATGGTTTGGCTGGCATATTGTCAACTAACCTGAACATCGTGGAGGGAAACCTAACAGGTATCCTAATCAAAATGTGACCGTCGCACGTGTATAACGTCCACAATGACGCTTCAGCAAGACCAGTTATAAACCCTACAATATAATGGTCAAACTGGCTGAGATAGATTGCCGTGGATAGAGTCACTTTTTTCGATACTCTGTATACTCTTCAAACTTACCCCGGCAATTTTAACATTGTTATGTGATCATCCTTGTATTGACTGATTGTTCTGTTCTTCATCATTGATTTTCTATTTTTCAGTTATAATGTACCGGACTCAGCGCTGTGGTATTAATTCAACTTGTATGGGGGAAACGGGGTTAGCACAATTACTCGTGTTTGTCTAATAGCCGTCTAAAAGATTCACCCCCGGGATCATGAAAGCGATCTCAGTTCAAATGTTGCTAAGCAAGAATTTTGAAGATTTTGCTCAGCTCAGATTCGGTCTTAGACTAAAGATGTTGTTATTGACATTGATCCCCTATCCCCCATTTAAAACAAACTTTGGTCTTCCATGTACATGTAGGTGAGTGAGTATTGTTTTACGCCGCTTTTAGCAATATTCCAGCAATATCACGGCGGGGGACACCAGAAATGGGCTTCACACATTGTACCCATGTCGGGAATCGAACCCGGGTCTTCGGCGTGACGAGCGAACGCTTTAACCACCAGGCTACCCGACCGCCCCCATGCACATGTAAGTCAACAATGGAACAAGGAAAAATATAGGGAAATAATCTTCACTGTCGAATTTGGAATAGCGGGCATACAAAGTCAATACATGTCAGAATCAAATGTTGAGATGTGTTTGTGTGCATTGTTTCCAAAGCGTATTTGGTAGACAAGGCAGGGAACCAATGACAGCATATAATTGTACCTGTCTGAAACAAAGGTTTTCCTTATGATTTATATTTATTTATTATATTTATTTATTATATTTGTGTTTATGTTTATACAGGTATGTCATAGCGATCTCCTCTGATGATCATTAGATAACGCTTCACCTATTTCTGTATCCACAACAAACATCACACTCACTGCACAAAGCCATACTTGACATCATCATGTATAAGTGAAAAGAGAAATTAAAACATCTTCGACGTATGACAATAAGCACAGTTTATTTACCTCCATCGTCAATATGTACTTTGCTCCATTAACGTGTCCACAAACCCATGACATTTGACAATGACATTACCTTCGATAACAATTTGCCCTTTCATGTCTGAAAAGAACATGAGGATTTTCCAGTAATAATTACTCAAACAAATACATGCAATCACCGTCACGTGGTACAGATTTATTTACAGATGATGCCAGACACAAAACAATCTTCAAAATGCGTGCAATATACTCTCTGTGCACAGAGATGATACCATGTTTGTTAACTTTTAGGCAAGACTTTTTTCACACTTGGGTTACGAGTTTTCCGACTCCTAAACTTTTATATGTGACAAAGAAAAATCAAAAGCAGTGTAGTTTGTATTCTGTTGGGCAGAAATAAATTTTAGAAACTTCATTTACTGTTTCTATGGTTGTAAATAAATGCAAAACATGACGAATTATGTCAAATCGCGAGACATATGTGTCTATTACGGAAAGAGTGAGTGAGTATGGTTTAAGCTATATTCCAGCAATATCACGGCGGCGGGACACCAGAAATGGGCTTCACACATTATACCCATGTCGAGAATCGAACCCGGTTCTTCGATGTGACGAGCGAGCGCTTTAACCACTTGGCTACCCGACCGCCCTGTTACGGAAAGAGGTAATCTGAAATTGTTTCCTTCTCTATTCCTGCAGCCCTCATTTTCAGGAAATCCCAAAAAGATATTTTGGGGTTAAAAAATCCACCAACCTTTAAAATATATTCTGGCCTTTGTAACAGCTAAAGTATTTTAAGACACATGAAAATAGCTAGAAGACCACTGAATATTTAGAGTGCTATCTTACTTTGTAAATACTCGAACATCACGAAAATCTTAGTGTCAGTTCGTTGTGTGTGCTGTTAGTCTGAAAATTTACTCAAAAGGGTTTTGGAAACAAATGTTTTCGCCCCTTCCTTCTTTCTCCCATCAGCGTCATACTCCATGGATTCCACCTTGTCAGCTTTCTTCTGACTCTGAGCTCTAAGCTCTGATGCTCGCTCTGATGCTCGCTCTGATGCTCGCTCGCTCAGACTCTTTGTCGTGGAATCGCCCGTCTTAAGGGTGGGTTTCCATTCCGAAGAATCTGAATTTTAAAAAAACCAGGTTAGGAACAATTTCGTGTCATGTCAACTGTTTCCATTCATTCATATATTTCCCTTCATGAGTACTGCTATACAGCGTCAGGCAACGAACAAACACATAGTTATGTTTATGTGAGTGGCGGTTGATACCGGTAGAGCAGGTCATGCTTACACTTTTCGTGTTAACACTGATTTTCAGTTATCCATTTATATAATTTGTACCTCTATTTTGCCTTTTACGCCCAATGAAATCTATTTCGGCGGATAATCGAGACTGAGCATTCTCTGGCATGGACGTTTTATCTATACACATCTCAAAAAGGTTTTAAAAATACCCTATTATTTAATTTTACTGTAGTTAATCTGTTATGTCATGGCATGCCAGATTAACTGTAGTAATATGAAAGAATCGGGAGTTCTTTAACTGCATGACAGATTAACTATAATAATATGAAAGAATCAAATATCATTTTTGAGTAGTATTCTTTGTCCATGGTTAAGTGGAATATGTCTTTCATGCCGGCCGTACGGGATCGCCTTTCAGTGTGGAGGTTCTTGTCAGAGACAGAATATATTTTCGTCATTGCTCCAAGATACAAAAAGGGGGAGTTGAACGCATCCCACATATCCAACGAACATTTTTGGTGCTTGGAGAATGGAGTAAAACATACACGAACACGAGACAAATTTATTTTTTCAAGTAATTTTACCAAATTTAACAAAGTACACAGGTGCCCCCAGACCGAGGTCAGTGTGTGTCACTGTGCTCTGGCGGTGACGATCACTGTCCCTACAATCAGTCACGATTTGGTCTGGCCTGTACACGACAACTTGCAAGCACCTGTCATAACGTTTGGCTATAACACCAACAACAACTTCTATTCATTGCAATGTAATGGTCACGTTATTATCCTGCATGACCTACCAGGAAATGGCGACGATCCACAGATACCCATGATGTTTCTGAACTCAGGTTATCGGCTGTTTATAAGGCTATTCTGAAACAACCTTCATTATTAAATACATCATTTAGCATAATTAATTTTAAGCATGTTAGTAAAGTAGGAACATATGGAATTATAGTATTTCCTTATTAATCCAAATATTCAAAAGTTTTACGCTCTATATGTACGGTGAAGTTATGAGGCTGCCAACCCCCTTTCGGTGTGCGGGAGTCGGGGGTCTAGAGAGAGTGTCGTACGCGGGACCCAAATAAAATCGCATTTGACAGGCAGATTCAGCATATTTTAAAATAAATACGTAAACATTTCCTTTATAATTATAAACTCTGAGAAACCAGAAACGCAAAAGCAGTAAAATCGTAAATCCGACATCCATAAAAAAGTAATACCAAAAAGGAACTGGTCATTTCTGCGTGGATACGGATTGATTTGAGTGGAAAAAATGAGAAATTTGGTGAAAAGATGGAAAAACGCAAATACATAACCACGTGAGAGCCTGGCGCACTTGTGCACGTGCACTTGTTGGGCTATGAAAGACGTTGGGTTTTCATATCCACACCATCACAATCTTACAGCAAGTGACTGACGGAAGCCCAACGCAACAAAGCCATCGGCCGAGAATCGTCTTTAGCTGTAACCAGGTTTTTCCACGTAGCACCAAGCACCATTAATAGACTTTGGAACCGTTGTCAGTACCCGTCGACTACGTATCATTGCTAGAGCATAGAACATGTTCATACAGCTACGTCACTTACGTGAAAGTGAGTGAGTTTGATTTTACACCGCTTTTAGCAATATTTCCGTAATATCACGACGGGAACACCAGAAATGGGCTTTACACATTGTACACATGTCGGGAATCGAACCCATGTCTTCGGCGTGACGAGCGAACGATTTAACCACCAGGCTACTCGGCCGCCCCCACTTACGGGAAAGAGCTACCACGGCAACACGGTGATAAGTTTGGTTTAGTGGCGTTTTATGCTTCCCTGTGCGGATGGTAAACGTCGTATGTAGGGAGGCGTAGGTAGGGAGTACACTGGTAGAACAAACTTGGCGAAGGTCTGGGGCATTTAACGGCACAACGTTACACGGATGATATTATTGGGCCACACTTCCTTCCCATTGTGCAACAAGAGAACGTCATTTTCCAACAAGACAACGCCCGACGTCACACGGCAAGACTGACAAAAGCCTTTCTCGGGAATCAAAAGATCCAGATCCTGTCATGGCCCTCCAGGTCTCCAGATTTAAACCAAATCGAACATTTATGGATGCACTGGATCAACCACAGAACCTCTGACAATTGGCACAAGCACTGCAGGCAGGATGGATGATCATTCCCAGAGCACAATTCGGGATATGATTGATTTCCATGTAACGACGATGTCAGTCAGTTTTGGACTCTAACGATGGCCATACAAGGTATTGTGATCAGATTACATTCACCTTGGACATCTACGATTCCATGTGTGCCATATGGAACCTGGGTCAATGACAGTGATGGGTGCCATTTTCAACAATCTATTACCATTTGTTGATTATTTATATGACATATAAACTCTACATTTAAGATCACTTTTGCGTTTCTTTTTTAATTTTTGCAGAGTGTATTTTTTTTTTTTTACTTTTCTTTGGTTTTAGATAAATCCAACAATACTCTTTGGTGGTTACAGACTTGCTAACAAATTTCTACACAGGGGTGTGGCTGCCCTTTAGTGATACTTCTGTACTTGAGGATGTTATGATTTCAAAATTGAATGTGATAGGACGAAAAGGCTAAAGTTAGTTGTCACTCATACGAACATGATCGATAACGTCCATAACGAGATATTTTTGGCAACTTACCATTTCCAGTTGGCCAGAAAGAGCTCTTGTTATACCTCGTTCATTAATGTTAATGTTTTGAAATGTCAATTTATCTACATACAAAACGGAAGAGCAACAATGTTGTTTCTTTTCTCTTCACAAAGCAAACATCTCATTCTTTATCTGCGTATTTTAAAATCATGATGTTTAAGTTCCACATACAATTACAGAACTTTACTTCTTAATGCATGTTTACAAAGAACACGTTTCTTTATCAAATTTCTTATGAAGTATCAACGAACATACTTACCCCGTCAAACATTTGCTGCTTCTGACTCGTACTTCCGGGGTATTCAGGTATGTAATTGTATGTTGTGTTTGCTGCACAACAAGTACTGATGAAACCAGCCATGGTGATGGTTACCTTAGTTGCATTTTGTGATGGTAAATATACGCATCTTACTTTCATTTTAATTATTTTTCATAATTAGGTGTAGATTTTCCGAATTATACAATTCAGCTTTAACGATGCATGCAAAAGTGGTTGCACTTAATGACGTTATTCAAAAAGTTGAAAAACGAATTTGTAAAGGCTGAAATGAATCAATGTCGTTCCACGTCCTGGTTTATAGAATTAGGTCATATGGTATTGTATGTCATCACTTCGTAGGTATAGAGGAGCACGGGTGGCCCGATTGGGCAAAGGCGCCGCAATTCGCTGTGCAGAGTTGCGGCCCGTGGGCACGCCAGAAACCCTTGATTGTTGGTTCGAATCCCGATTCACCCCGATTATGTTTCTTCGTTTCTTCATAAAACGGAAGCCTAATGTTTGCATCACTTCGGGCTTTTCTCCCTCATTAAGCTGACGACCCGTGAAGATCAGAGACAGAATAGGTCTTCAGCAACCCATGCTTGCCGTAAAAGGTGGCCATGCTTGTCGTAAAAGGCGACTAACAGGATCGGGTGGTCAGACTCGCTGATTTGGTTGAAGCATGTCATCGATCCCAATTGCGTGGATCGATGCTCATGATATCAATCACTGGATTGTCTGGTCCAGACTCGATTATTTACAGACGGCCGTCATATAGCTGGATTATTGCTGAGTGCGGCGTAAAACAACAAACCAAACCAAAACCAAAATCATTAAGCTGACACGCCGTGATATATCTGGAATACTGTTCAAAGTAGCGTTAAACCCAACTCACTCACTCACTTTTGGGCGCGTACATGTACATCCGACCTACCCTTATCTCGCTTATTCTTCATTTGAGACATTTCTTTTTTAAGAAAACAATATGCCAACTTCTTGTGATGACACCAGTCGTTCGCGATATAGGGAAGCATATCAAATAACGTCCATTTTACCAAATTGATATATTTTTAGTTAACGGGAATTACATTTATCATATTGGCTGTAAGAAAGATGGTTCCTCTTCAGTCTGCAGACAACAGTCGACATTCTTCATTTTGCAACCCTAAAGTTGACAATCACAGTTAACGTAGCAATGGTATGAACTGTTGTACAGCGTCGAGGCGAATACTTCCAAAGGTAGGAATAAAGTAGTTTGAGCCCTTGCATCATCAGTAAATGTCAGAATGACAGCGTCACCTGTCAATCAGAGCGTGAGACTGGCAAGCGCACGGTTCTCCTTGCATGTCGGGATAGAAAACACGCCCGTTACTGTCTCCCTACTGTTTACCTTGCCGATGTTGACAGAACAGAACGTGATCACAAACAGCCGTACAAGACATACATGGTGTATACCAAATGCATAACAAAGCTTTCCTTCTCTTCTTGAAATGTGCACACATGTATGAAATAAGGCATTCAGGATGACGCAGACTTACATTGAAAAACATATGCAGTTCTTTTTGTTTTGTATAATGTTCACATTTGCGAAAGCTCGTAATTTCTTCAACTTTGAACTATCCGTAAGGTGAAATATATTTGATATATTTTCGTCATTCTGTTTCAAATATTGGACGTAAGTAGTGGAATTCACCACTTATGTATCATACATGTATTTATCATACAGCGGTTTGGCCCAGAAACATAAATTTTAATTGTTTGTTTCATCTGTGTTCCAAATTCTTTTGGGGGTATCATGATAGATAAAGAGAGTTTGCTGGTAATTAAATTACTCACGGAAATGAAAAAAAACCCTTTTTTTTCGATCTCAGATTTTAAATAGATGCAGTTGATATACAAAATATATAAATATTAAAACAACTCAATTAGTACCAATTGGGCCTTGGCACAAATACAGCGTTTCAAAAGTTTTTATGTCTTTTTACACGTAAAAGTGTGTAAAAATATGAACAAAACAGACTATTGTGAAACTGAGCATAACCAGGTGTTAGTAGATCAAGGTGAATGTCCAGGACCTATGACACCTTGACGACAGGTGAAAACAGGTGCTTGAAACCCACGTGCATGTGATTTGTCAGTGGTTAGTGATTTGTGAGTGGCATTGTGGGATAGTGAATCATCGTCAAAATATCAGAACGTAAAAGTAACATATTCCCTTCTCAAACAACAACTTGCATGTCATTATTATTATGTACATAAACATAGATGTTATTTTTATTGTTGTTTTGATCACTTTTTTCCAGGCTAATTTGCATAATGCCTATAGCCTGTTTCTGCCATGTCAATTTGGACTTAGTTTTATTTTTGAATGTTGAAAGTGCCCACAAATTACCTCCTGTAAAGTACATTTTGTATTGAGCACTGAGATAAAACTAGCAAATCCAGACTAGTACTTTTCCAGTTGTTTTGTTATTTCGTATTTACATCTACGTAATGCTTTGTGTCGATTATTAAATCCAGCAAAACAGGTTTTTTTCATTTCCATGAGTACTTTAATAACGCTGTAAGTGCTCAAACATTTTTATTTCACACATTTAGCCAGGCAGTGGTATGCAAAGGCTGGTTCCAGTTTGAATACTGGTATCTAGGATTTGATCAATGATGTCGCAAAAATGTCACACAAAGGTACTGAGTACCTTAGGCTCCTAACAGGTATATAACACACGTGTGAAGGTGGGATTAATAAAGGAATGACTGTTGTTTTGAAGACAGAGCTGACTTGTGGATTTCAACTTCTTTATTATTTCAATGTGACGTTTGGGTACAGATGATCTTTATCAAGCAATTGATCAACACCTGGTTAGGACATGGTTCTATAGCTAACAATTGCGTATACAGAGATAAACAACAACAACAAACAAACTAGGGTGACAGAGTGATGAAGTAATATGATTACCATTATCTGTACTCAAGATTCGCTAGGTCCCCAGGGCCACCCTGCGTCTTGCAATGTCACATGTGGTATTCGTCACTTGTTCCATACTGATGGGTGTAATTAAACATGGCCAACACTCCCTACTTGGACGGTGGACATTGCACCTTAGTCATGGTAGACAATGGGGCTATTTCGTAGAAGTAATAATGACGGGTGTCGGTGAAAAGGTAGGCGTATCCTGCCCCACCGGTGACACCTGCCACAAACACACGCAAAGGCAAGTCAAATGTTTACTGACACAACACGGGAACACATGGTACGAGTCAGAAACGGGAATTGCACGCCAATTCTATCTACAGGATTTCAAAGAATCTAATTTTAGTTCCGGCCAAAGATCCATCATGTTGTATACTGCAGTTATCGGAAACAGGATCGTATCTTGATCGAGTGAAATAATACTTCATTTTAGAACTATGTTCCATGTACAGTCACAGTAATATCACGAAGGATACTTTGTAAAGAATGAAAGCAAATTCCACCCGAGGTTTACTGAGAAATCAATATGTGAAATGCTGGACTTCCTCATTGATAACATCTACGTAAAACTTGAGGGTAAGACATTTAGGCAAGAAGTAGGCATCCACATGAGCACCAATTGTGCTCCCCTTCTTTCGGAACTGTTTCTTTATGCACATGAATCGGAATTTCTGCTCGGATTGGCAAAGTCAAAATATAACTAGAAATAAAAGAGACTAGTAGGACTGCCTCATCTGTTTCATATATAGATCTATGCATAAAGATTCAGGGTGACAAAAAAAGACTGTATGACAAGAGGGATGACTTCAACTTTCCGTAGCCCCCGAAATCGAGAGATACCTGCGACGGCCGCAGAGGATCTGCAGTGGCCTCAGGGTCGCCCTTTCTTTTACAGGCCGTAGGGGTCGCCGTGGGATTATAGCGCGGAGTTATAACTTTTTTAATTACTACGTTCGTCGTGGCAATTTGACAATTAGACACGCCGTAGCCACGCCGTAGAGCGGTTCCACGGCGACCATACGTCGGGCGTACGGTGGCCTTGCGTTTGCCATGCGGCTGCCCTGTGTAGCGGTAACGTCAGTCTGGGCGCACGGTCGCCGTATGGCCCTCTTGCGGCCGCCTTTCGTCTGCCTTGGTATTTGTCAAAAACCTACGGCCGCCGCAGGGGCGCTCTAAAGGGACCGTACGTCATCACATCAAAGGCCGTACGGCAGCCGTAGGTTTTCTGTCTCCACAAATTCGAAATACGCCATGCGGCTACCCTAACATATGTGACTCCTACAGTATATGACCGTGGGAATGCTGCGGCGGCCCTATAATTGCTATTGGCCGTAAATATGTTAGACCCCACGGCCGCCGCGGCAAATGTGACTGAGGCATTATGGATTTCTATTGGATATAGAAAGGGTTTTGTCGCTTTTTTTTAATAAAAAGAACAGACACATAGACAAAATACCAGAGTGTCTAAAAACAATAAGCATCTATGATGAATCATCTAATATCAATATGGGCATGTAGTCTCAGCAGAATTATTCTCCATAAAATAACTCCTGCGCCCGTTTCATAACATTAGAAATGGCCCCTTTTACGCTTCTTTCCTCAATTTCTTATTTTCAATTTCTAGGTCACGAATTATTTCACGTTGCACTCTCTGTTCCTGCTCCTCCTTGGCAAGCTGCTGTGTCAGGTCTTTGTTCTGGTATTTAAGGTCATGGAGGTCATACTGACTTTTACTGTTGTCATCTTTAAGTTCTGAGGTCTTTTCCCTTAGATTTGATATGATTTTCTCTCTGGCTTCAAGTTGATCTTTCTTTTAATGGCCGAGTTTGATTCCAAGAACCCTAACCCAATCATTCGGGACGTGTGAACCGAGCATGACAGCCTGTCGTCCAACAAGAATTCCCTTTCTAAACGGGGGGCACCGTTAGGTAAGCCTTCAGCCATCACGCCAACGTGAGTGAGTGATTATTGCCAAGTAAGTGATGATTCAGCATTTCAACAGCTTTCAAAACATGCTGTAAATAACGCCGTGAGTAGTGTTTTAGTAATGTGTAATAAATGGCGACATTAACGATGTACCTAATTTTCAGGGGTCATTTTCAGTACTTTTG